CGTCTTAAAGAAGCCCCCCCTCCCGGTCCGCAACTTTTGTCCCCCCCACTACCGGCGCCCTCAAGCAGCCGCTTGACTTGCTTGTAGTGTAGCGCCGGCTCTGCATACAGTACATACATATAATACAATACAGGACATACAAATAATACAATACAGGACATACAAATAATACAATACATACAAATAACAAAATACAGTATATACAAGTATACAATGTGCGTACAATACATGTCGTAAAGTCTTCCAATATTAAAATTATAAAAAGTCAAAATGTTTTTAAGCTATATAAAATGCTGATGAAATCACTTACAATGGATGCTGCTCCTTGTTGTTTAAAAGTTTTAGTTTCCTGCAGAATCCCCTGAGTACTGGTCCAGATATCCTATTTTAGGGTGCCTCCTTTTCCTTACAGGGTCCAATGGAGCTACCCTTGTGTGTGCTAGTAAGCTGTGTGTGTCTCCATAAACACACAGGCACAGCAAGGTAAACCACTCCTCCTTTCTCCATGCTAGTAGAGGGATAGCTGCTGGAGACTGCTGTGTCCCGTGTGATCTTGTACTGGACAGGAAGTTCAGGGAACACAAGCTTAATGATTAGGAGACAGGTGCTCTGAAACATGATGACTGTAGGTGCTTGCTTTGCTGAGCAATGCATATGTCAGATCTAGATTTATTATTGAAAAAAAAATGCTTGAGAGAGGAATACTACATTAACTGGATGTATTACGTTTTATTGAAGACTCTTCTGTGGAGTAGAACAAATGATCTGGTGCATCGCTACACAAAAGCCACTGAGAATTTCATGACTCTGGAGGACACTTTCCTGGGCTTCCTTTTCAATGGCCTTACGTGGTGTGGAAAGTCAGCTTCATCAGGTAAACGTTTGGTGATTAAAAGCTGAAATATTGATTTGTCTGTAAAAAGTAAAAATGAAACAGGAAAAAGCAACAGGTAAATTTCTGAGGCTGTCACTGGTTTCTTGGAGCTCGGTGACAGAGCTCGTCACCAGTTGGCAAGCCAGATTGTCCTACTCAGCTCTTAGCAACTGGTGATGTCAGTGAGCTGGGTGGGACGCCAGACAGAGGGTCACAGGTTGCTAAAAACTGGCCCCCACCACCCGGTCACACCCGAAGGAGATGTGCTCTCAGGCTGTCTAATTATAGTGATGGCCCTGTTCTTACTTTTATTCCCCTATCACTCAATTCAGCTGCTAGGAGTGAAAAGAATACCTAATTCTTCCTAAAATTTGACTCTCTCCATTTACAAACATTGGTACAAATTGTTTTCAGCTGGTGAACTTACCAGTAACACACTTCCTGTCCTAGGGTGACAACACTCACTGACTGTACTGTATCTATAGAGGAAAAGCATTGTCACCCTAGGCTGTTCTCCTGATTTGGACTTCAAAACCCCCCCTCATTTTCACAGCATGTGTATTTGTAGTACTGTTTTGCCTAGATTTTAGTTAGCTATATCTAAAAGTAATTTCCTCTTTAGAAGGTACGTCCAGTTTCAGAAGCTTAGTACTGCCTTAGGTATCTTCTTGACCTCCAAGAGCCTCCAGCAGAGACAGACTTTCCATACAAAACCTGTTGGACTGCAGACAAACGTAGAGTTTTATACCCCAAGGCAGTGCTTTTAAAAAATGAAATACAATGATAAAAGGGTGAAAGTAGCACAGTACTGTCTACCTATTTCTACCATTAATACAGGTGAAACTCGAATAATTAGAATATCGTGCAAAAGTAATTGCAGTAATTGCTGCAAAAGGGGCCCAAACCAAGTACTGAGTACATATGCATGCTTGTACTTTTCAGAGGTCCGATATTGTTCTATGTACAATCCTTGTTTTATTGATTGCATGTAATAATCTACTTTTTTGAGGTTGTGGATTTGGGGTTCTTGGGGTTTTCATGAGCTGTAAGCCATAATCATCACAATTATGACACATCACGGCTTGAATTATCTTGCTTTGCATGTAATGAGTCTATCTCATATATTAGTTTCACCTTTTAAGTTGCATTAGTGAAATAAATGAACTTTGCACGATATTCTAATTATTCGAGTTTCACCTGTATGGATACAGTAATTACATGACTCTAATGAATAAATATGATTCATTTCAGGGATGAACTATCATTCGTGTCCTGCATGGGATGAATGTAGCAACAATTCTCTCAGCTCTTTCTGGAAGATGGCCTCTGCTAATGTAAGTGTAATGAGTGCAGCTATACTTTATACTTCAACTGCTAAAGATGGTTGGACTGCTTCTATTATGTATACACATGCGTTTGTCTATCTCTATGTGTGGTATGGCTGGAGACCTGCAGAGAAGAATGGTAGAGGGTAGAACATTAGTGAACATATACAAATATTGGCTATGGTTTATAAAAATTGGTTTAAAAAATCTGAGCTTCAGCTGGTTTATATCTTTCAGCAATCCCGTCCCTCTCTCATGCATATCTACTGATCTTCCAGTTTTACTGCCCAGCCTTGTACAACTCTGCATATTCCAGGGATGTATAGGTTATCAGATTACACATTTGCTGTACCATGTAAGAGAAGTAAAGATGGGCATTCAGTTGCTGATTCTACATAAGTTAACCTTTAGGCCTCATTCACACAGCTAACTGTCGCCCTGTACAGATCCGTGCACAGCCGTATTGGGCCACTCCCGGGATGGACGGGCAGTGCTGTGATATCTACGCAGCAGCCTTTTCCTCTCTATGGGAGTACGCCGCCGTACACTCACCCAAACTGCACATCCGTGCAGGTGCGGGTGTCTGTGCTCGGACGCAGACAGGATCCATGCTGTCTGCATACGAGTACGGACATCCACACCCGCACGGATGTGCAGGTCGGGTGAGCGTACGGCCGCATACTCCCATAGAGAAGAACAGGCTGGAATCACAAATTTTAATTCAAACGATTGTTTGTAAATCAAAATGATCAAATTGTACAATAATTCCCTGGAAGATTGTATCCTTTTGTCGAAATGTTATGTCAATCACGTTATGTGTACGGTCATCTGTCTTTCTAATTTCCTGCAAAACTAAGCTTAAGGCCTCATTCACACAGCTAACTGTCGGCCTGTACAGATCCGCGCTGCATGCACGGCCGTATCGGGCCTCTCCCGGGAAGGACAGGTTCTGCGTGTGATTTGTACGCAGCAGCCTGTTCTTCTCTATGAGAGTACGCGGCCGTACGCTCACCCAAACTGAACATCCGTGCAGGTGTGGGTGTCCGTACTTGTACGCAGACAGAATGGATCCTGTCTGCGTCCGAGCCAGACACCCCCACACCAACGGATGTGCAGTTCGGGTGAGTGCACGTCGACGGAGAACAGGCTGCTACCGTACACATAACGAGATTGACATAACATTTCGACAAAGGGATCAAATGTTCCAGGGAATTATTGTACCATTATTGTACAATTTTAAAGAAAACAATTGTTTTAATTAAAATGTGGGTTTCCCAGCTTAAATCCTCCTTCCTCAACAAGCCTCAATTCAAATGAATTACCTTGGGCTTCTGGCCACCAAACACACCATCGCTAAGGCATGGAAAAAAACAATTCAACAATTTGATTAATGAGAAACTCACCACTATACTAATGGATACCCTCCAGAAACTTCTTACAGTGTGGAGATCATGGATTCGCTGCCCACGCCTCACTTCCATCAGTAAGTTATACTTCTCTATGAGGCTTTTGTCCTAGAAGGGATCTCTGGTGGCTTTAAACCTCCGTTCCCTCAACCCTCCGCACACATTATTTGTAAAAAATAAATGAAGGCAACTGGACCTGCTGTATTTTTCTTGAAGACGCTTAGCTGGTCCTCTGACTAGCTTTCTCATTCTGAGTTGAGAAAGCTGGTCGGATGAGTAGCCAAACATCTTCAAGAAAAATACAGCAAGTCCAGTTGCCTTCATTTATTTTTTACAGATATACCATGACCTGGATGAATGAGAACCTTCACAGACACTCCACACACATTCTTTTCTATTTCTCAAAATATAAGGTGTCCCCGAAAGAATAGAAATCCCTTACTCGGAGCCGGTTCAATAAACAGGTAGAAAATAACTACTGCATTATAGATCCACATCTTCCCCAGTAAAAGAACTGAATACACAATGGTGAACTTTTCTGAGAACATCAATTACATCATGTATAGGTTGAAAATGGAGTGTACATTCGGCTGTGTAGATAAACAAATAAGAATGTCTTTTATTTTATTTTTAATTTGTATCTAAGTAATGTCTGATATAGCTGATCATAATTTAAATTTAGAAAGGGTTAAATGCAATCCGGAACTAAAACCAATGAACCGGAAAGCAAATGGGATGCAGAAAAGTGTATGCAGGAGTCTCAAAGGTAGACGATTCCCAGTACAATGGTTGTGCAGAGTACAGCAAGCTGTTGTCCGGTCGTTTCACTCAGACTCTGCTGGATGCGTTAAGGATTCCAATGCAGGCTTGACTTTAATCCAATCCCGAGCAATTGGGCTCCGTCTCCGCACCGTCAAAGCCCAAACTGACAGTGATAATGCCGCGGCTGATGTGCGGGATGAGCTTTAATGAGTGTGCCTTCCCTGCACACTCATCAAAGCTCATCCCGCACATCAGCTCTCAAAATTTGAAATTTGAGCCCGAGGGCCGGTGAGAGCCCCAAGCAAGGGAAAAAGGCAAGGGCACTTGCATCTCTAGCCCAGCCTATCTATCCCCATCTCCTGATCCTAATTACAATTACCTATTGAAGCAAACACATCATCCAGCATTTTGGAACCCGAGCAGGACTGTCTCTCCCTGAGCTCCCTGAGCAACATGAGCTGTGAGTAACCCGGGATACATTGTACCCACACATGAGATATCTGTATAGTAGATGGCAACTCCATAGCATCACTTTAGTTGGAGTGCAGACCACCCATGATTCTTATATTATTGTTACCTTAGGGAAGTTTTTTAATTGTTTTTAAATGTTTTTTTGTGGATGTAATGTTAAAACTTTTTCTATGATTAAATATTCTAACTGTTAAATTATGTATTTTCTACCTGTTTATTGAACCGGCTCCGAGTAAGGGATTTCTATTCTTTCGGGGACACCTTATATTTTGATTATCATTGTTGAAACCCTGGAGACTGGTATAGCATATTATATTATCTGGTTTAGCGTAACTCCACTCTGTTCCCCTATCTTTTCTATTTCTCCATGTTCTTTCACCTTCCAGCAGAGCTTCCAAGATAACCCTTACCACTAGTAAACCAAAGACCAAGCTGTGCTGCTCAACTTCCTTGGTGATTCCCCATTACTATGCAATCAGCAGGCTTGAGTAAATGTTCACCGAGTTTAGCAGGACAAATGGCTCTGCAAATTGTTTATAAATAGTCCGTCAGGGGGGCAATGTTTTGCATTATGACCTGTCAAATAATTTTATTTTACGATGGACCAGGGTTACCTCCTCCTCAGTGTATTCCCTAGAACTCTTCATTCTTTCATTTCTCTGCTTACGGCATCACCATCCTATAGGCTTGAGAGCTTTTTATGTTTATGAATCAACAAGACACACTGTACTATAGATATTTATAGTATGCCGGGAATGACCTATGTTTAATATACTGTATAGAATGCAGTGATATTCTATAAACCTGGATCATTCTTACTCTTTCTTATTTGTCTTGTTTCTCTCTAGTTTGCTCAAGCATCTTGTGGAATAGTAAATGTGATGCTGAATGGTTCTGCAGATGGTGCCATCACCAGAAAAGAAAGGTGACGAGTTACTTTCCATCAACTGTATGCAAAATACTCCCTTATCCCTGTAACAAAAAGCAGGACCCTAGCCCTGCTCACATTTATTTTGTGTGTGTGCTGTATTTATAATATTTATAGGTATGGCAAGGTACAGCACCACTTTGTATCAATGAAGTGTGTGTTGTCTGAAATGTTTTAACTGTGAAAAAGCATCTTTTTTTTGGCATGTTCACATTTAAATGATCACGCTTCATCAGCTTCTTCGCAGGCCACAGCGGCCAAGGAAAGTGATGATATGCTCATTGCTTTCAGCATCATTCACAGGAGGGGAGATCAAAGAACAGATGTGCTCTGGTCTCCCTCTGCTTCACCCACCATGCCTGTCTTAGGTCCGCAAGAGCCCGGGATAAATGGCAGGGTGCAGCCAGGCAGGCGGACAGCACTTTCAGGAGGGTATGAAAGTGATTGGGGGGCTTTACATCCACCTGAGCCACTTACATCTAAAAGCCAACAGTCTGTAATATTTAAATATACTCCCAGGTCCTATGGCAGCTAGGAGTGTGTTAAAAAACCCATGCTACTGGTCGCCGTTTATAAACACCGCTTGCAGCCAACTGGTTAATAGATTCAATCATACTGTATAGCCCAATTCTGTAAAGAATTGTTTCATCAGATTTTTATGTGTATGGCCACCATTAGACAGATCTCAGTTTCGATAATAATTTGACCGCGTGTAGGGCTTCCCTTGGACAGTGTTTCTCAATCTTTTTTTCATTTTCCTTTAAAGGTATGAAAAATCTCGTGGCACCCCAGTGTAAAATGTAAAAAAAGTGTATCCTCTCCAGAATCTTTACCAGACCCTTACTCGAGATATCCCATTTACATCAGAATCCCCCTTTCACATCAGAGTCTCCCTTCACATCAGGAGCCCCCTCATTTCATATCAGAGTCTACCTCTCTAACAATAGGAACCCTCCTTCACTTCAGAAGCTCCCCCCTTCACATAAGGAGTCCTATTCACATCAGAAGCCCTTCCTCACATCAGGAATCCCCCTTTCCATCAGGAGCCCTATGCACGTCAGAGGCCTCCTTTCACATCAGAGTTCCCCTTTCACATCTAAAGCAACCTTCATATCAGAACCCCTTTACATCAGAATCCTCAGTCCCCCCTTCACATCAGAGTCCTCCTTTTGCATCATGTGGCAGCATGGTAGAGGGCAGGAGGCAGAGCAGGCCTGGACAGATTCAAACCTCTGTCCTTGTCTGAATGGATCCCACCCTCCTTAAGTTAACATAATTTATTTCCATGGTGCTGGTGGATGGCCCGTCTGCACCGTGGAAAGGCATGATACTGTGCAGAAATTTCAAGGTACCCCTAAGAAAGCCAGGAGGCTCTCCTGGGTTGAGAAAGGCTGCCCTAGGGGACCCACAATGAGCACTTTTCTCTGCCTATGGGCAGTCATTGGATGAATAAGATCAGACATAATTTCAGTAGGTAAAAACAATGTTATAGAGTCTTGATAGGAAAGAACAACAGAAATGGCAGCAAAGAGGCTCAAAGTAAACCCTGATCACATACATTGCTCTACAAATCATGAGAAATTATGTTCTTCACCTTTATAAACACTTGCTGACATGTTTTCTCTTTTTTCCCTCCCAGTATTTTAAGGATGGTGGAAATACCCAGCATGGATCCAGATAAAGTATCTGAAGTGAAACTTTGGGTAATTGATGACATTCAAGGACAAGATAAGTAAGACACATTTACTCGCAGCACAGTTTTTTCACATATCATTTAAAACGATATCTAAACCCATGACCAAGAAAAGTAATAGATTGCAGCTTAGTTTTCATTTTTCAATATAAGAACATTTTCAGCAAGTACGGAAAATATCTGTTGCAAAGCAATGTTACCTTCCCTTTGTAAACTGCAAATCCCATCCCATGTCTTCCTCCCTTTGTATTGGATATGAAGGGAGGAAGACATGTTTGAGGTCCAGCGTAGGCGACAACCATGGCTCCCTCCATGGACACAGTGGAAGCCTGAAAAAAAGAAAAATGAATACAGCCACCACATCTAGGCATTGGTAGGCTGCAGTATGATACATTTTTGTTTTGGGTTTAGGTACACTTCAACTGCCTCCTGGCTGGCTGTTGTAAATAAACCCTGGATTTACAACTACTATTATCCAAACACTTCCCATCACAGATTGGTAGAATATATATATA